TCATTCCTACGAGCTCTGGGAACGTATTCTTGCGCATTTTCAAAAGCTTACACGTGCGAAAGCAAGACAACTACGAGCGGAACTCAGATCTACAACACTTGAAGACAAATCTGTTGGTGATTATCTGGTTCGCATCAAAGCTCTTGTTGACGCGCTTGCTTTAGTAGGAGATCCAGTTCCAGATCAGCAACACATTGATGTGATTCTTGAAGGTCTTCCTCAAGACTTTGCCTCTGTTATTTCAGTTATTGAAAGCAAGTTTGATTCAGTAGAACTTGAAGAAGTTGAAGCTCTTCTTCTTGCTCATGAGATGAGATACAACAAGTATAAGAAACACTCACAAATGGAGGTGGCTGCCTCAGTGAATCTCACTCAAGCCAATTCTCAACCTGAAACTGATAACTCGAATAACAAGAACAATGAACAAGCTGTGAATTCAACCTTTAATCCAACCTATTCAAGAGGAGGCCGTGCAGCTGGCCGTGGTGGTGGACGCGGCCGTGGGAGAGGTAGGTTCAGCAACATTCAATGTCAAGTTTGCTTCAAATATGGTCATCTTGCTGCTAACTGCTATCATAGGTTCAATCAACAATTTCAACCTAACATACCTGCTGATTTTCAAACAATGAACCTACAAAATTTCTATCCGTATCAACCAATTGGTGGACCTCAGTTTGCTCAGCCCATGGTTAACACTCGGTCACGCCCAAGCTATCAACCAAGACTTGCCCCTCTCCCTGTTCCTCAGTCACATATCACTCCCAATGCTATGATTGCTAACACAACTTCAGTTCCAAGCAGTGCCTGGTTCCCAGACTCAGGAGCTTCTTATCATGTTACCAATGCCTCTCAAAACATACAGCAAACCACACCTTTTGAAGGTCCTGATCAGATCTTCATTGGTAACGGTCAAGGTTTGCACATTCACTCTTCAGGCTCTTCTTATTTTCCTTCTCATTCTAAACCTAACACTCCATTAGCTCTTCATAATTTACTGCTTGTTCCTTCTATTACAAAGAACCTGATAAGTGTCAGCAAATTCTGTCTTGATAATAGAGTTTTCTTTGAGTTTCATGCTGATATGTGCTATGTCAAATCTCAGGCTACCAATGAAATTCTGCTCCAAGGTCGTGTAGGAAGTGATGGCCTGTACCAATTTTCCCATCTTCAGCTTCTTAAGTCTCCTTCAACAAGTCAAGTCTCATGTCTCACCTTAGACTCTAATGCTCATGTTTCAAGATCTGATTCCAGCACTAGTGATAGGGTTTCAGTTTCTAATCAAAATGTATCAGCTAATAACTCATATAATTCTCAACATACTTGGCATTTACGCCTTGGTCATCCAAATTCTAATACTATGAGACTTGTTTTAGCTCAATGTAATATTCCTTATTCTAATAAAGTTGAATCTATCTTTTGTTCTGCCTGCTGTATGGGAAAGGCACATAGGCTGCACTCCCCTCAGTCACAAACTCAATATCACTCTCCTCTTGAATTAATTTTCAGTGACCTATGGGGTCCTGCCCCAGTCAAATCCTCCCAAAACTTTACCTACTACATCACCTTTGTTGATGCATACACCAGATTTACTTGGATCTATTTGCTCAAAAATAAATCTGAAGCCTTAACTATCTTTAAACAATTCAAAGTCATGGCTGAATTACAATTTGGATTTCCTATTAAATCTGTCCAAACTGATTGGGGTGGTGAATTTCGCCCATTTACAAAGTTTCTTTCTGATCTTGGCATTATTCATCGCCTAGTTTGCCCTCACACTCATCACCAAAATGGTGTAGTGGAGAGGAAGCATAGACACGTTGTTGATCTTGGTTTAACCCTCTTGAGTCATGCCTCTTTACCTCTCAAATTTTGGGACCATGCCTTTTTAACCGCTGTCTACCTAATAAATAGGTTACCAACCATGTCTCTCAATCAACATATACCATATGTTGTCCTTTTCAATCAAAATCCTGACTATAAATTCCTTAAAGTCTTTGGGTGTGCTTGTTTTCCTCTCCTTCGCCCATACAACTCTCAAAAATTTGACTTTAGATCCCACGAGTGCCTTTTTCTAGGGTACTCTACAGCTCACAAAGGTTACAAATGTCTCTCTCCAAGTGGTAGAATATTCATCTCTAAAGATGTTCTTTTCAACGAGTCTAAATTTCCTTACAATGATCTTTTTTTCTCTAATGTTTCTCTCCCCTCATCAACCATTCCATCCTCCTCCTCATCTAAAGTAACCCTTAACACACAAGCTCTCCCTCATGTTTTTCCCGTTCCTACTGCTTCCACACCTATTGTCTCACACTCCTCTTCTTCTTCTCAATCCAATTCCAGCCCCACACCTATTGTCTCACACTCCTCTTCTTCTTCCCAATCCAATTCCAGCCCCACACCTACTGCCTCTGGGTCAGCAACCCCTATAACACAAACAGCCAGCACTAATCCTACTCCTTCACCCTCTTCAAATGCCAACAATCAGCCTACTACTACCACTTCACTATCCTCCTCCTCTATTTATGCTCCTAGGGATCCTAACCTTCAGCCTCTCCCCACCAATACTCATCCTATGACTACTAGAACTAAATCTGGTGTACCCTTACCTCGTCTAAATCCTTCCATTTTTCTTGTCAATTCTGAGCCTAAGAGTGTTAAAACTGCTCTCCAAGATCCTAAGTGGTTTGCTGCTATGCAAGAGGAGTATGGTGCCTTGATAAGGAACAACACTTGGTCTTTGGTACCACTGCCTGCTAACAGGAAAGCAATAGGCTGCAAGTGGGTTTTTCGTGTAAAGGAAAATGCTGATGGGACAGTAAATAAGTACAAAGCTAGGCTTGTTGCTAAGGGGTTCCATCAAGTCCATGGATTTGACTTTAATGAAACTTTCTCCCCTGTTATTAAACCGGTCACAATTAGAATTATTTTGACTCTTGCTCTAACTTACAATTGGCCTTTGCAGCAGTTGGACATAAACAATGCCTTTTTGAATGGCATTCTTGAAGAGGAGGTCTATATGATGCAACCCCCTGGATTTACTGCCCCTAATTCATCTCTGGTTTGTCACTTGCACAAGGCCTTGTATGGCCTAAAACAAGCCCCGAGGCAATGGTTTGAAAGACTCAAAACCACTCTTTTATCCTTTGGCTTTCTAAACAGCAAGTGTGATACTTCACTTTTCATCTACAAGCATCACAATGCTGTCATTTATATGCTGGTTTATGTTGATGATATAATCATCACCGGAAACTCCCCTCCTCTCATCAAGCAAGTTACTCAACAATTAAATCATGTGTTTGCTCTCAAACAACTTGGTGACTTGGATTATTTTCTGGGCCTTGAGGTGAAGAAATTGTCCAATGGAAATCTCCTTCTCACTCAATCTAAGTACCTAAGGGACTTGCTAATCAAAACTGATATGGAGAATTCCAATCCAGTTGCTACTCCTATGGCTTCCTCCACCAAACTCATCAAAACAGGGTCTGCTGCCTTGTCTGATGCCTCCCACTACCGGTCCATTGTAGGGGCCCTGCAGTATGCAACAATTACACGGCCAGAAATCTGCTATGCTGTTAACAAAGTATGTCAATTCATGGCACACCCCTTGGAGTCCCATTGGCTAGCTGTCAAGCGTATTCTGCGCTACCTAAAAGGAACTATCACCTCTGGTTTATTGTTCACTCCAGCCTCCACTGTTCCGTTCTCTCTGCAAGCCTATTGTGATGCTGACTGGGCTGCTGACCCAGATGATAGAAGATCCACCTCTGGGTCAGCTGTGTACTTAGGCCCTAATTTGATCTCTTGGTGGTCCAAAAAGCAAACTGTTGTTGCTCGTTCTAGTGCTGAGGCAGAGTATCGCAGCTTGGCTCACACCACAGCTGAAGTTTTATGGGTTCAAACTTTGCAAGCTGAACTAAAAATTCCCTTGACAACTCCAACCATCTATTGTGACAACCAGAGCACAGTTGCTATGGCTCATAACCCTGTTCTTCATGCAAGAACAAAGCATATGGAAATTGACCTCTTTTTTGTAAGAGAAAAGGTGATTAATAAGTCTCTCACTGTCTGCCACATTCCTGGTGTTGACCAGAAGGCTGACATCCTCACCAAGCCTCTCTCATGTTCAAGATTTATGGAGCTCAGCAGCAAGCTCAACCTGTCTGCCTCAAGTCAGCCTTTGCAGCCACCTTGAGCTTGTGGGGGAGTATTAGAGTTATATCTTAGAATATGAATAATCAGCACTATAGAATAATTAAGTCCAGCCTTAATTTAATAGAATAAGAAAAGTCTTCCTTAATTGTAGAGCTTGAATGATTCAACTCTTGAATGTTCATCTCCTCTTGTATAAATAGAGCATAATGCTCCTTTCCAATTAAGCAATAACAGAATCTGTTTCTCTCTTTTCTCTTTTAGCTTTTTCTCTCTTCTCTCTCATATCTCACTCTAATAATAACTCTCTCTTTATTCATATCAATAATGACTATTAAATAGCCTTACATAAGAAAACTGAAAACTCCACGTTTGTAACAGTTTCTAGAAACTTGGATACTAATTTGACTAAGAAAAACATACAGACTTGAATAAGTCATAGCTGAAACTATCCACTAAATATTAACACAACCAACCCACTAATCATGCTGACTGGTATCCTCAACAATTTCTTTTTTCCAGAAATTTTTTCAATGAGTTTTTTTCTCCACAAAATGTAATTTTTAGTGTTAATAGTAGCAGGGATAATTTGATCAATGGGTGCCAGGATTAATACAGAGAGTATGGCATGTTATAATCTCCAGAAAAAACTGTATATAAAAAAGTTTAATGTAATTGCTAAATAAAATATGTAAGTAACAGTCAACAAATGATAGCCCGTGCATCAGTTTTTAAACTGCAGATTATATTCTTAACCCATAACCATGGTATTTTGAGTTTGTGGCCAACTATCTGCTTTGACTGTGATGCAAATATTTCACGCAACTCAATCTCATAGATATCAGCAATTTTCATCTGGAACTCTGACTCCGTAACTTCTCCTTGGAACATTTTTCCTGGCCATTAAAGAAAATATTTGACAAGTAAGAAAAAGATAATATTTAAAGCTAATAAGATTGACAACCAGCAATCTCTATGTTCTATGTTTACAGAGTACAAAGATCGAAGTTGGCTTTGCTTTCTAAGTGAGCTTACTTAACTCATCTTGATTTAATTTATTTGTGAAATCATATACAATTTATGAACATGAAGGAGAAGTGCCGGAAAAGGTTCCCGTATCAAACCCATGCAAAAAGGAGTAGCTGAAGCGTATGTTTGGTTATGCTTTTTCCACCGCAGACATGCGTTCTGTGGCCGTGAAAATGCAAAGCTACTAATAGTAGCAGAAAGCAGTGATTTGCACCGTGCTTTTGAAATTTTTTGATGCCCAACCAAACATACATGAAGTGTTATATTAAGTTTTTAACTATTCCTTCCGTCTCATAATAAATGTCTTATTTGAGCAATACACGGTTTTTAAGAAAATGATTAGATGTGTTGATTTTAGTGGAAAAAATTAACATGATTTACTAGAATACCCCTATTAATTGTATTAATAGAGTAGTTGAATAAAGCGAAAGTTAATAAATAAGGGAATAATAGTGGAAAAATAATAATAAATGATGCATTGGAATTGTAAATGGACAACTATTTTGAGACAAAGAAAAAGTGCAAATAAGACACTTATTATGAGACGGAGTGACGGAAAGAGTAAAGAAGTGACTAAAAAGCCGTGTCTTTCAAAATGAGTGTAATCAGCTCAACTCTAATTAATTCAAATCATACATAATTTCTAGGTACTCTAAGTAGCCTGATATATATATATATATATATATATATATATATATATATATATATATATATATATATATATATATATATATATATATATATATATATATATATATATATATATATATATATATATATATATATATATATATATATATATATATATATATATATATATATATATATATATATATATATATATATATATATATATATATTCACAAAAAGCATATTTTGTGTAGTTAGCATGACAAATTGAAAATGTATGATATCCCAAAAAAACAACTAGGACATTAGTTGGTAAGTATCGAAGATGTATATGAGAAGGATCAAAGAAGTATAGGTAAAAGTATTTTCAAAAAGAATTAAAAAATTGAATACTTTATGAGTAGGTATTGGGAATTATCGAACGTGTTTCCGTATCGGACATCGATACTTCTCCATTTTTGAAGTATGTGGGCTTTGTAGATATCAAGGATCTCATTCTCATACAGAAAGAAGATAGATAACTATTAATCATGAAGTGGGGGGGTCCCACGGACCTACGGAAAAATTGGCACCAAAAAAGCTGAAACTCTTCTAACACTGACTCGCTGAGGGGGGGAATATTCCATGACTGGAAAAAGCATACCTGAAAAGATTTCATCAGAGAATAGCAGCGCTTTTGCTCACCGATTGCTGCAGCATATCTATCCTTAAGCTCGTTACGGTTTCTCTCTTCTTCTTGAAGCCCTAGTTGAACCTTTTCCAGTTTCTGTACACATATCCAGCAGCTAAGAGTTTTAATCACAGAAGGCACATTCGTTGAAAGAACACAGGTACTTATGATAAAAAGAAAAATAACAAACATTTCTACTTATATGATAATAAAAAGAAAAATAACAATCATTTCTCTACCTAAATGGTAATGTCCACAACAACAAACAGAAAATATAAGGTTTTGTTTGTAATGAACAAATAGGCATTTTTTACAATAGAAAATAATTTTTGCTTCACCGAAGTCAACAAACAGAAAATATAAGGTTTTGTTAGTAATGAACAAATAGGCATTTTTTATAAATAGAAAATAATTTTTGCTTCACCGAAGTGTCACAAAATTAAATATGAATTAATAGAACTTATGATCCAAGTAATAATCATAAGAAGTTTCTGTCAGAAACAAAACATAAGAACTTCAATGATAATCTGTGTTAATCAAACAATGCACAAAAGAATGAGTTTCCCTTAACTTTACATTGTATGCACTTTTGTTACTACTTGTAAAGGTGTTCTAATAGTCTATATAATTAAATATAAAGATAGTGTTTTCTTCCTTAAGAAACACAGTATTTTCACTTTAACTTGTAAATTTCGAAAAAGGAGGATATGGTGACAAAAAATTAATAAACTTCATATTTTAAATTAGGGAGCAAGTGAACTCCACCACAAACAAATAGATAACTCAATCTAAGCTTTGTCCTTTCAAAGATTACAACAAAATTCCATTCAAATGTTCATTTTTTAACTTCCATCTCTATTTTCTAATAAGCTTTTCAAAGCACCAGTGCTAGCAAATTAAGCCAACTGTATTAACAAGAATAGTCAGTCACACTCACCCGTGCAACTTATTGGACTCTTACTGACTCCAAAAGTAGTAACTACTCATGACAATATGGGAAACATGTTCAAAACTATTTGGTCACTAAACATTCTAATCCAGGCCCTGATTAGGATGCTTAAGCGCCAACAAAACAAGTTGAAGCAGTGTGAAAGAAAAGCAATTGGCTTTAACTTGTTTATGATTGTGTGAAAATAATAGAGCAAAACAGGTTTAGGATTATTAGGGTTGTTGATGGCAAAGGGGATCAAATGATCACTAAGAGAAGACATCTTCATGAATCTATCAAGTACTCCCACCGTTTCAAAATGATTGTCGTTTAAGATTTTTGCACACAAATTAAAGAATGCAATGATGTTGTCATAAGATATTACACTTTTACAAAATTAACCCTATTAATGTATTGGAAGTAGTGTAGAGAGTAAAAAATAAATGACACAATTGGAAAAATAGTAATCATTACTACATTGAAAAGTGAAAATGACAGTCAATTTGAAACAAAATTTATTTGCTAAAACGACAGTCATTTTGAAACGGAGGGAGTAAGATATAAGGAGGCTCAATATATGCTTTTGCTCAGAAACCAAAGCAATCTGTGCAATCTACGAAAGAAAAAAAAAACCTAAGTTTGGTAATCATCCAAAGGCCAACGGACACATGACTTAAGAAACAGGCCATGATGCTTAAATACAACTATAACTACACTTTTTCCCCACCAAGTCAGCTATCAATAGACTCCATAAAATCCTCACATATGTAGTTCAAAGATAGACCATTCATCTCAGAATCTCTCTTAATGATTTAGATCAAGTTTTATTTGGTTTCTCTACCTCTAACAATTGGTCCATCCTCCATCTCATCAACCATCTAAACATGACCAAACCGCAACAAGACTTTGCCATCTTTTGTAGCATGTGTGCAACCCCAAAATCCCACCATACCAGCTACTTTGCGGCACCATTATAGCGGATTATGCGGAAAAACCAACAATATCGGCCGATATTTACCATTGCAGCAGGTCCAAAAACCGCCATGTATATCTGCCATAGCGGTCATGGCACCGCTATTTGATAACATTGAATATAATGAATCGTAGAAACTTAGATAACATATAATTTGTTGATGTTGAGATAACAAATTATAATTTGTTAAGATAACTTAGATATCTAGGCCAGAATATCATGCATATATACATATATGGTGGAATCAATTAGGCCCAATTCAAAAAACATTCGAACTCATTTTGGTAATATACCTATTTAATAAAGGTTGAATCATTGGATATTTAATACCAACACTAGTATATATTTAGACATGTGTGAATGGTACAGACGCACAATCCCCAATATTTTTTCCGATGTTTTTAGAAATCTAAAGATAAATCAACACAACACCTCAAGAGCTGCAGTTAACTCTTCCAAGTTGATTATTCACGCATGCAAAAATAGCATTACCTGTTGACTTCCCTTGAGAATTCCTTCCATAGAATGAACAAGTTTTATACGACCATCAGCGCTACTAAAGGCTTCTTGAAACTGCAATATAGTGGGGGGATTGACGATAAACAAAACCATAAGGAACATGTCAAAATAAAATTTACAGCAAGATGCAATTCTCCGATGAATACCTGTGAAATGATTGAATTCAATAAAGATGTTTCCTTTAACATCAATTCTTTTATTTCCAACAGAGCATTGTAGGTAGAATAATATTTGCGAGTTTGTCGGTGCTTTCCCTGTACAGTGGCAAATACCAAAGGCATTGTATAATAATTAGAACAAGAAATATGGTTGAGAATAGATTTAACAGTAAATAACGTCATCATTTGCTCAGCATAACTTTTTCACTTTTCTCTCACTCACAAAAACTCATTCTATCAAAAGAATTTATGAACCTGGATTTGAGCATACAGTTCTGAGAGTCGATGTTCATACCTGCATAAACATGAATGAAAAATATCCAATAAATATTCCAGACAACCAGGTTCCACATTCTTATCAAACCAGCCTCGGCATACATGCACGCTATTGCTTTCACCTGATCAATGGGTCATCTCTTCAACTATTCTTAGAAAAATACATATTCTATTTCATCTTATCCAAGGATACATTTGTACCAGGGAGATAATGATAAGCCTAGGCCACCCATCACCAAGTTTTACACCCGCAGGCAGCGATGCCTAAGGAGTGCAGGGTCAAGAGATGCGGATCAGAGGGCGTGACCCTTGGTGAACGTCACACACCCACCCGAAAGGATGCATCCCTTGGAACCAAACAACATCAAATCTAACAGTCACAACCCTTCAGATTAATTGTATCAATTAGGAACAGATGTTAAATGCAATATAAATAGAAGCAAACCAAAATTAGGAAACCATTCAGGAAAATTAGGAAGAATTTGAATTGTGGAGAGACAGGCTCTCGAAAATCTGTGTTGTAATATTCCAAAATTATCTACATAAATTTCAGTTGTAATATTCCAAAATTATCTACATAAATTTCAGTTTTCATCTTTTCGTTTTGTTCCATTTTGTTTGGCTCTTATCAATTGGTATCAGAGCATCGTCCAGGTGCTTTGCTTCCAACTACGGTGACAACTCGATCTAATTCCGAAAATCCAGATACAATGGAGAGAATTTAGGAAATGTTGATGGCAGATCGACAAAACCGAGATGCAGAACGACAACAATTCGAAACACGCTTTGCACGCCTAGAAGCCATGGTAGAAAATTTGTCCAAGCATTCAGAAGATGGCACACCCAAAGGTTCCATCAATAGAGAACATTCACAACCAAGGTCCACACCGGAGAAAGAAAAACAGAACGTTGGAGAAAATTGGCAATCCCCATATATGATGGAGAATCGGATGCTTATGGCTGGATAAATAAATTGGAACGCTTCTTTCAAATGAGGGACATCCTAGAAGAAGAGAAAATCCAGGCAGTTATGGTGGCTAAATTACAAGAGGTCTTCCCAGATTATCACCTTGAGGACAAGGTGAGTCTTTTAGGCGGGGGTATTGATAAGCCTAATCCACCCATCACCAAGTTTTACACCCGCAGGCAGCGATGCTCAAAGTGTAGGGTCAAGAGATGCGGATCAGGGGGGCGTGACCCTTGGTAAACAGACACACTCACCCGAAAGGATGCAGCCCTTGGAACCAAACAACATCAAATCTAACAGTCACAACCCTTCAGATTAATTGTGCCAATTATGAACAGATGTTAAATGCAATATAAATAGAAGCAAATCAGAATTAGGAAACCATTCAGGAAAATTAGGAAGAATTTGAATTGTGGAGAGACAGGCTCTCGAAAACCTCTGTTGTAATATTCCAAAATTATCTACATAAATTTCAGTTGTAATATTCCAAAATTATCTACATAAATTTCAGTTTTCATCTTTTCGTTTTGTTCCATTTTGTTTGGCTCTTATCAATTGGTATCAGAGCATCGTCCAGGTGCTTTGCTTCCAACTACGGTGACAACTCGATCTAATTCCGAAAATCCAGATACAATGGAGAGAATTTAGGAAATGTTGATGGCAGATCGACAAAACCGAGATGCAGAACGACAACAATTCGAAACACGCTTTGCACGCCTAGAAGCCATGGTAGAAAATTTGTCCAAGCATTCAGAAGATGGCACACCCAAAGGTTCCATCAATAGAGAACATTCACAACCAAGGTCCACACCGGAGAAAGAAAAACAGAACGTTGGAGAAAATTGGCAATCCCCATATATGATGGAGAATCTGATGCTTATGGTTGGATAAATAAATTGGAACGCTTCTTTCAAATGAGGGACATCCTAGAAGAAGAGAAAATCCAGGCAGTTATGGTGGCTAAATTACAAGAGGTCTTCCCAGATTATCACCTTGAGGACAAGGTGAGTCTTTTAGGCGGGGGTATTGATAAGCCTAATCCACCCATCACCAAGTTTTACACCCGCAGGCAGCGATGCTCAAAGTGTAGGGTCAAGAGATGCAGATCAGGAGGGCGTGACCCTTGGTAAACAGACACACCCACCCGAAAGGATGCAGCCCTTGGAACCAAACAACATCAAATCTAACCGTCACAACCCTTCAGATTAATTGTGTCAATTATGAACAGATGTTAAATGCAATATAAATAGAAGCAAATCAGAATTAGGAAACCATTCAGGAAAATTAGGAAGAATTTGAATTGTGGAGAGACAGGCTCTCGAAAACCTGTGTTGTAATATTCCAAAATTATCTACATAAATTTCAGTTGTAATATTCCAAAATTATCTACATAAATTTCAGTTTTCATCTTTTCACTTCCGTTCCATTTTGTTTGGCTCTTATCAAATAACTCCTGCGTGAATACAAATATTTTAGAGGCTTGTAGGGATAGATAAAAGTAACTGATGAGAAAATTTACTATCCAATTAAATGAAATATAAAATTAATCAGGGACAAGTTTTCTTTATGTTAAATTTCAATTTTAATCATAATGGGTCTCTTTTATGTAAATTGCACGGATATTGTAAGGTGGATAAAATGTGAAAATTTAATGTGATTTTTAGAATACATAACCATGCCTTACAAACAGAGCTAGCCGGTTCTATACTAAACAATTGTTCAGCTTCTTTTCAAGAAATAGTTTTCAAATCCTTTTTTTCCCGGAGGTTTTCGCCAACAATACTAACATTAAGTGACTTATCATCAACAACATTCACTCTAGGTGATTTACCTATAGTTTAATTCACAGGAAGTGACTTATCGATAACAACATTCATATCATGTGACTTATCATGATAAATTTTGTAGTCTCAGACCTGCACAACCTTTAGATCCCTCATTCCAATGTGAATTCAATTTTTTCCTAGAAGTTGCTATGAGTTTCTCATTGTCATGCCTCGTGCACCGACAACCATTCCCCCGCCATCGGGTGTTACGTGTAACCCCTCTCCACCCTTTTCAGCCTCAGATGTTACAGTGGGGTTTTCCATGATTAGAGAAGAAACAACCGGGAGGATTATATTTCAGTTCAACGAGAGGAGTAAACCTCGCCAACAAAGTATCATCATCATTATCTTCAAAATCTTCAAACTCAAAATCTTCAAAATCTTCAAACTCAAAATCTTCAGTAGAATCAGGTTCCTTCACTGGCTTGATAAGTAAGCCATGATGGATAGTGCTTGTAGATACCTTAGAACTCTTTTGACTGTCTTCCAATGCTCTTCAAGGGGTGAGGAAAGGAATTGACACACTTTGCTCACTAGTAAGAGATTTGAGGTCTAGTGACACTAGCATGTTGCAGTCCACCCACAATGGATCTGAAGAAGGTAGAATCAGAGACATGATTTGAACCATATTTGGATAGTTTTGTACGGGAAGCCATACTATTTGCAGTTGCCATGTTATCCTTTGTTAATAAGTCCCTTATGTATTTTTAGTTTGAGAGAGGAGGAGAGATCCAGAGTCAGAGTGATGCACTTCAATACCAAGAAAGTAGTCAAGTTTCCCCAAATCCTTGAGTGAGAATTCTTGAACAACTCAACATGGATCACTTTTGAATTAGAACTATATTATGTTAGTAGGTGTTACCCCCTACTTATCACAGTAGGTGTTACCCCCTACTTATCACAGTAGGTGTTACCCCTACCTATCAGTTCAATAATTTCATATGAAGACAAATGTGGAAATACATAGAAAAAAATTATACCATCATCCAAATTCTGATGTTCCACCTCAATTGGCTATTCTATTAGAACATCTTGTACTCTTTCATGATGTCGTTCCCCTAAAAAAAATTTAATTTAAGTAATTTGTATCAACACAAAGTATTTAACCACAAATAAATCTACTCTTTTGATTGCCTTCCAATGGTCTTCAAGGGGTGAGGAAAGGAATTGACACACTTTGTTCACTAGTAAGAGATTTGAGGTCTAGTGACACTAGCATGTTGCAGTCCACCCACAATGGATCTGAAGAAGGTAGGATCAGAGACATGATTTGAACCATATTTGGATAGTTTTGTACGGGAAGCCACACTATTATGTTGCAGTCCATCACATACAACAAAACCATTTTTAATCAAAATCAATATTAACTTGGCTCACATTAAGCCACGTTTCTCATCTGAAACAAATATCTACATTCGCCTGGCGAATCCTAGCTCGCCCGGCGAATCTCCTTTCCTCGCCCGGCGACCATGCAGCGAAACACGTCAGAGCGAACTTCTAAAAATACATAAGGGACTTATTAACAAAGGCTAACATGGCAACTGCAAATAGTATGGCTTCCCGTACAAAACTATCCAAATATACCGAAGGTGGCGAAACTATATGTAGTAAAAAGACATGATATAGTGTATCATCATATCTTTTAATCTCCAATATGTCTTTAACCAATAATCACACCCTAAAATCACAATTTATCATCATTACCTTTTAACTTTTTCCTTTAAAACAAAGCTTGCACGTGTTATCAAAAGGGTCCACTAGAAATTTTACCCATTTATTGGGTCCTCTCCGCATATCAAGAAGATAATCATAATGAGAGAAATAAGTTATAGGGAGATAAGTTTTTCTCATAATGAGAGAAATAATCTATTCATGTACTGAGCAAGTGTATGAAAATATGGTTAAGGCACAAATTGTCAGAATTAAATTAGGAAAGAATTTAGAACATTTTGGCTTTTAGCTTCTAATACGACATCACATTTAACAAAAATGTCATGAAATGGTGGTGCCCTAACCATATTTTCATATAGTTGCTGAATATATGGACCGAAAAATGAAGCTGGAATCTCCTTCAGAACAATCACGTTTATTAAGTGAAATTCCAAAAATAATTCTTGAAATTGTTAATATTAATCTGTCACCAAGAGACTCATCTAGAAAAGATAAGTGACTCGATGTGAAATCCACTTCCGGAGATTTACTCCTTGTGGGATTCACGGGCGTTTACTTGTCAGATGATGTAGCCTTTGTTAATAAGTCCCTTATGTATTTTTAGTTTGAGAGAGGAGGAGAGATCCAGAGTCAGAGTGATGCACTTCAATACCAAGAAAGTAGTCAAGTTTCCCCAAGTCCTTGAGTGAAAATTCTTGAACAACTCAACATGGATCACTTTTGAATTAGAACTATCTTATGTTAGTAGGTGTTACCCCCTACTTATCACAGTAGGTGTTACCCCCTACTTATCACAGTAGGTGTTACCCCTACTTATCACAGTAGGGAGTAACACCTACTGTGATAAGTAGGTGTTACCCCCTACTTATCACAATAGGTGTTACCCCCTACCTATCAGTTCAATAGTTTCATATGAAGAGATGGAATTCTCTCCTCCTCTCTCAAACTAAAAATACATAAGGGACTTATTAACAAAGGCTAACATGGCAACTGCAAATAGTATAGCTTCTCTACTATATTTAGAAGAGAAGCATTTTGATTTATGTTATTTTATTTATCATTTCAGTATAACTTATGATCTATCGTATTTTGGATGTTGATATAATTTTTAATAATTCATGGAAGCTGAGTTTGTTTCGCACTATTTAATTAGAAAGAAGCAAGATGCGGAATGTCGAACGTGATTATTTGGAAAATTTGTTATCAAGAAGATAATCATAATGAGAGAAATTAGTTATAGGTAGATAAGTTCTCATAATGAGAGAAATAATCTATCCATGTACTGAGCAAGTGTATGAAAAAATGGTTAAGGCACAGTAACGACGCGAAATTGAAATTCTATAAAACCTGCATCGACTGATGGTCTCACTAGGGGTAAAGTCAGTGGTTATGATCCAAGGATCATCGTCATCCAACAAATCAATGGTAAGCGATGCTTCAATATCGTCATCGACAAATATGTACCATACCGAAGGTGGCGAAACTATATGTAGTAAAAAGACATGATATAGTGTATCATCATATCTTTTAATCTCCAATATGTCTTTAACCAATAATCACACCCTAAAATCACAATTTATCATCATTACCTTTTAACTTTTTCCTTTAAAACAAAGCTTGCACGTGTTATCAAAAGGGTCCACTAGAAATTTTACCCATTTATTGGGTCCTCTCCGCATATCAAGAAGATAATCATAATGAGAGAAATAAGTTATAGGGAGATAAGTTTTTCTCATAATGAGAGAAATAATCTATTCATGTACTGAGCAAGTGTATGAAAATATGGTTAAGGCACAAATTGTCAGAATTAAATTAGGAAAGAATTTAGAACATTTTGGCTTTTAGCTTCTAATACGACATCACATTTAACAAAAATGTCATGAAATGGTGGTGCCCTAACCATATTTTCATATAGTTGCTGAATATATGGACCGAAAAATGAAGCTGGAATCTCCTTCAGAACAATCACGTTTATTAAGTGAAATTCCAAAAATAATTCTTGAAATTGTTAATATTAATCTGTCACCAAGAGACTCATCTAGAAAAGATAAGTGACTCGATGTGAAATCCACTTCCGGAGATTTACTCCTTGTGGGATTCACGGGCGTTTACTTGTCAGATGATGTAGCCTTTGTTAATAAGTCCCTTATGTATTTTTAGTTTGAGAGAGGAGGAGAGATCCAGAGTCAGAGTGATGCACTTCAATACCAAGAAACTAGTCAAGTTTCCCCAAGTCCTTGAGTGAAAATTCTTGAACAACTCAACATGGATCACTTTTGAATTAGAACTATCTTATGTTAGTAGGTGTTACCCCCTACTTATCACAGTAGGTGTTACCCCCTACTTATCACAGTAGGTGTTACCCCTACTTATCACAGTAGGGAGTAACACCTACTGTAATAAGTAGGTGTTACCCCCTACTTATCACAATAGGTGTTACCCCCTACCTATCAGTTCAATAGTTTCATATGAAGACAAATGTGGAAATACATAGAAAAAAATTATACCATCATCCAAATTCTGATGTTCCACCTCAATTGACTCTTCTATTAGAACATCTTGTACTCTTTCATGATGTCGTTCCCCTAAAAAAAATTAATTTAAGTAATTTGTATCAACCCAAAGTAGTTAAACTCAAATAAATCTACTCTTTTGATTGCCTTCCAATGGTCTTCAAGGGGTGAGGAAAGGAATTGACACACTTTGTTCACTAGTAAGAGATTTGAGGTCTAGTGACACTAGCATGTTGCAGTCCACCCACAATGGATCTGAAGAAGGTAGGATCAGAGACATGATTTGAACCATATTTGGATAGTTTTGTACGGGAAGCCACACTATTATGTTGCAGTCCATCACATACAACAAAACCATTTTTAATCAAAATCAATCTTTTTCAAATCAAACATTTCAAAACAAATATATTTTCCTTGTTAACAATCATGGAAAACCCCACTGTAACATCTGAGGCTGAAAAGGGTGGAGAGGGGTTACACGTAACACCCGATGGCGGGGGAATGGTTGTCGGTGCACGAGGCATGACAATGAGAAACTCATAGCAACTTCTAGGAAAAAATTGAATTCACATTGGAATGAGGGATCTAAAGGTTGTGCAGGTATGAGACTATACCGAAGGTGGCGAAACTATATGTAGTAAAAAGACATGATATAGTGTATCATCATATCTTTTAATCTCCAATATGTCTTTAACCAATAATCACACCCTAAAATCACAATTTATCATCATTACCTTTTAGCTTTTTCCTTTAAAACAAAGCTTGCACGTGTTATCAAAAGGGTCCACTAGAAATTTTACCCATTTATTGGGTCCTCTCCGCATATCAAGAAGATAATCATAATGAGAGAAATAAGTTATAGGGAGATAAGTTTTTCTCATAATGAGAGAAATAATCTATTCATGTACTGAGCAAGTGTATGAAAATATGGTAAAGGCACAAATTGTCAGAATTAAATTAGGAAAGAATTTAGAACATTTTGGCTTTTAGCTTCTAATACGACATCACATTTAACAAAAATGTCATGAAATGGTGGTGCCCTAACCATATTTTCATATAGTTGCTGAATATATGGACCGAAAAATGAAGCTGGAATCTCCTTCAGAACAATCACGTTTATTAAGTGAAATTCCAAAAATAATTCTTGAAATTGTTAATATTAATCTGTCACCAAGAGACTCATCTAGAAAAGATAAGTGACTCGATGTGAAATCCACTTCCGGAGATTTACTCCTTGTGGGATTCACGGGCGTTTACTTGTCAGATGATGTAGCCTTTGTTAATAAGTCCCTTATGTATTTTTAGTTTGGATAGATTGTTTCGCACTATTTAATTAGAAAGAAGCAAGATGCGGAATGTCGAACGTGATTATTTGGAAAATTTGTTATCAAGAAGATAATCATAATGAGAGAAATTAGTTATAGGTAGATAAGTTCTCATAATGAGAGAAATAATCTATCCATGTACTGAGCAAGTGTATGAAAAAATGGTTAAGGCACAGTAACGACGCGAAATTGAAATTCTATAAAACCTGCATCGACTGATGGTCTCACTAGGGGTAAAGTCAGTGGTTATGATCCAAGGATCATCGTCATCCAACAAATCAATGGTAAGCGATGCTTCAATATCGTCATCGACAAATATGTACCATACCGAAGGTGGCGAAACTATATGTAGTAAAAAGACATGATATAGTGTATCATCATATCTTTTAATCTCCAATATGTCTTTAACCAATAATCACACCCTAAAATCACAATTTATCATCATTACCTTTTAACTTTTTCCTTTAAAACAAAGCTTGCACGTGTTATCAAAAGGGTCCACTAGAAATTTTACCCATTTATTGGGTCCTCTCCGCATATCAAGAAGATAATCATAATGAGAGAAATAAGTTATAGGGAGATAAGTTTTTCTCATAATGAGAGAAATAATCTATTCATGTACTGAGCAAGTGTATGAAAATATGGTTAAGGCACAAATTATCAGAATTAAATTAGGAAAGAATTTAGAACATTTTGGCTTTTAGCTTCTAATACGACATCACATTTAACAAAAATGTCATGAAATGGTGGTGCCCTAACCATATTTTCATATAGTTGCTGAATATATGGACCGAAAAATGAAGCTGGAATCTCCTTCAGAACAATCACGTTTATTA